TATGGCAGCAACATAGTCTTAGGACACAAATTAGGAAGAGTTGGGAAGGGTTACGAGTTGGGAATGACTCCCAGCTCCTACAAACCCCAAGAGCCGAGGTATAGTGATGTGGAACAGTGCCACACTGTCCCCAACCACGAAGGGTCTCGAAACTACTCTTCACTAGGGCCTACACCAAGTGAAATGTTACACTACACAAAGTAATGTAACTATCTTCAATATCTTGAGGTGTACCCATTTTGCGGGCTTCGCGATCACTTGAATGTTGACACCAGGGCTCGGGTTCTTCATCACAAAACTCATCCTTGAGTTCTTGATGGGTCTGCTGCACACACCTGCGACACGCCGAACGTTCGACAAGCGACAAAAGAGAAACCGCGCACGACAAAATAGAAACCGCGGGCGAGACACAAATGACCGCATTAACACGCGGCTTACGATAACTCGCTATTGACTTGACACACACACTCGACATCATGACCCATCATTCACACACCATTATAATCATGAAATATATATTTATTTCATGCACTCATACCATTCCATGCATACACGCATGCACGCACACGGACAACAAGCCGAGTGCAAACCGTAGGTTGCACCAATAAACTCCCCCTCGGATTGTTGGCCTTAGAATCTGCTCCTCTCAGTTCAGAGCCATCCCAGCCAGCTTGCAACACTTCCAATGCTGCTGCTCCACCAGCCTCTTGGTCATCATGTCAGCCGGCTGCCCTGTAGTCTTCACGTAGCGCAGCTCAACTTCGCCCGCGGTCACCATGCTCCTCGTCCAGTGCCATTTTACCCTCATGTGCTTGGTCAGGCCGTGTAGCACAGGGTTCTTAGCTAGAGCTATGGCTCCCTGGCTGTCACAGTAGAGTGGGGTAGGTCCTTGCTGCTCCTCCCCCAATTCAGCCAACAAACGCCGCTGCCACACAATCTCCCGTACCGCACGGAAGAGTGCCATGTACTCGGACTCCACCGAGCTCAAAGCTTGGTCAACCTGCTTCTTGCTCTCCCAAGCAGTTGGGCCTCCACCTACATAGCAGATGAAGCCTCCCACACTAGTCATGTCCTCTGGTTCCGATGCATAAGAAGCATCCGAGTAGGCGGTGAGGAACAAACGCCCGGGTTCAACTCCATCCGCGCCCTTTTGGCGCCTTTGCGCCGCCGCCGAGTATTGCAGCCCAACGGTCGGTGTTTGGCCAAGATACTTGGCCACCCTCATTCCAGCTGCTACCTGCTCCTCATTAGGGCATTGCACAACCCTAGCCAGCTGCCAGGTAGCAAACGCGACATCCGGTCGTGTGTTGACCGCCGCATACATGAGGTTGCCCACCAACGAGTGAAAACGGCGCCTCTCTTCTTCACCAACGCTCTCCTCCTCTGGTCCCTTCACACACCTGAACCCAGAAGGAAAGGGAGTAGCCACGTGACCTTCACTCTGGCCAAAGTTGGCAGCCAACGCCTCCAGGTACTTCCGTTGGTGCACTCGCATGCTCCGCTTCTCCACGTCTCGTTCGATGTGGAACCCAAGGTAGAAGTTCACGTCCCCAAGGGACTTGCACTTGAACTTGTCTTGAAGCTTCAGCATCACCTCCTTCACAAGGTCAGAGGAGGGTGAGAAGATCAGGATGTCGTCCACGTACACCACCATGAAGCTCCTCTGCTCCCCCTCGCCAAGCATGAACAAGGAGTGATCGGCTGTTGAGGGAGTGAAGCCGATCTCCTCCAACACTTCGCGCAGATTCATGTACCACTGCCTAGGGGCCTGCTTCAGCCCATAGAGGGCCTTCTTCAGCTTCCACACTCTGCCGCTACCATCGTCAAACCCCTCTGGCTGCGCCATAAAAATCTCCTCCTCAAGGATGCCGTTACGATGTCCATTTGCTTTACCACCCATCCTTTGATGGCGGCTCCCGCGAATAGGGTTCGCAACGTCGTCGGCTTCACCACAGGAGCAAACAGCTCCTTGAAGTCCACCTTCTCCTTCTGCTGGTACCCCTTGGCTACAAGCCTAGACTTGTAGCGCTCGATCTTGCCGTCGGCATCCGACTTGATTTTGAAGAGCCACTTGGACGTTATCGCCGTACGCCCCTCCGGTAGCTCCACCAATTCAAACGTGTCGTTCTCCTCGATGCTCTTCAGTTCACTCTGCATGGCCTTCTTCCACTGCTCAGCATCACCACTCTCCAGGGCCTCCTTGAGAGTTGCTGGTTCTCCCGGCATCTCCACCGGAGAGAAGAACGCGAACGCACACTCCTCGTAGTCACTCTCCTCGTCGTCTCCGACCATCATTGCCGCTCCGGCCAGGGCTGTCTTGCCCTGCTTTCCCGGTGCATCATAGGTCAGCCTATTAGGGGGTTGAACTCTTCTCTTCCCCCTTCCTTCCTCCTCAGATGCAGGGACTTGAAGGCCTTGGCGTTGCTGCGGTGTGGCTCAAATCCGTGGAGCACTCGTAGTGCGGGAAGGGAGTGACGGTGCACGCTCGCTCACTTGCTGCACCTCCTCCTCTTCTTCCTCTGCATCATTGGCCTCCTCTCCCCCATTCACAAGGGAAGATTGCCTTGTGGTAGTGCTGCCGCTGCTCAGCTCCAAAGGCAGCTCCACATGCTCCAAACCGGAACTCTTCACCTCCCCAAACCGCACGCCTATCTTCGCCTCATTCTCCGCCTTCCAATCCTTGTACATGAAGTTCTCCATGAACTTGCAGTCCCTGCTCACCAAGAACTTCTTGGTGAATGGGTCCCAAAGAAGCCATCCCTTGCTGTTTTGAGCCATGCCCAAGTGCACGGCCCACACCGCCTTGGCACCAAGCTTGTTGTGCCGAAGATGCTTAGGCACGAGCGCCATGCACATGCACCCGAACACCCGAAGCATATCCACCTGTGGCTTCCTTCCAAGCCACTCCACATAGGGCACCCATTTGTCTGCTCCCACATGAGTCAAAACTCTGTTCTTGGCCACACACGCGCTCCGCACCGCATCAGGCCAGAAGTAGTCGGGTAGCCCTGCTTCAATGAGCAACTCGCGTGCCGCCTCCGTGATCGTCCGGTTCGCTCGCTCGGCGATGCCGTTCATCGCAGGGGAGTATGGCATGGTGAGGGAGTGTCGAATACCATTCTTCTTCAGCCACAACCCAAACTCCTTGCTCAGAAACTCTCCCCCTCGATCGGTGCGGATCGACTTCACTAGACGGTCTTGTTGCCGCTCCACCATCGGGAACCAATCCGTCTTCAACGTTTCAGCCACGTCGCTCTTCTTGGCCAGCACATACACCCACGTCATGCGGGTGTAGACGTCCACAATGGTGAGAAAATACTCAGCTCCAGCAGCTCCAAGCTTCAGGGGGCCCACCACGTCCATCACCACCTCATCAAGTGGTGCCTTAGCCGTTGCCTCCGAACTAGAGAATGGGAAACGGGTGAACTTGGCTTGCATGCACGTCGGGCAGCCAAGTACCTCATCGGGCTCCCCCTTCACATGTATGCCAGCAACCATCTCATTCTTCACTAGCTGCTGCAAGATGGGCAGGGCCACATGCCCCATGCGCCGATGCAAAGTCAACCAATCACACTCCTCCGTAGCCGAAGTAGGGTTGGAGAATGCCGCGCTCGCAATAGCGCCCCACATGCTCTCTCCGTAGTCCTCCTCCGCTGCTGCCTCGGAGTTCTCCTTACTGTGCTGCTTCTTGGATGCTGCACCACTCTCCTTAGGATCACACAGCTTGCTGGTCCCTCCAAGATTCCACTTCTTGGACTCCTTCTCCTTAGCGCAACCGTCCGCGCTATCGCCGTTACCAACCGCTTCATCCTTGGTGCTGATGCTTGCTGCCACTTGCCTCTCCTAAGGCATAGGGACCACTGGGATCTGCCACATCTCATTGTAGACGTCCCTGTCCTCATGAAGGTCCCAAAGAATCCGATCGCCAAGCCTTGCGGTGTAGGTCTTGGCTCCCTTCGAGTTCGTGTCCATGCCGGCCTTTGCCAACCGCCGCACGGAAATCAGGTTCGCAGCAAGGCTGGGCACCCAAAGCACGTTCTTGAGGCCCACCATCTTCCCATCAGCACCCTTGAACATGGCCGTCCCCATGCCTTTCACCTCTGCTCGCTGCCCCAAAGCCGATGTGACATGCTTCACCGGTGACGGTTCAAGTTCGGTGAGCAAGTCCGGGCGAGGTGTCATGCTATAGGTAGCGCCGCTGTCGATCACCCAATAGTCCAGGGGGTGTAGGGTCACCTTCCCTACTGCTGCTGGTTCCTCAAAGCCTTCGCCCTTCTCTGGACCAGCCGGTACTTGTGCCGACACGAAGTAGAATAGGCCCGGGTACCGATCGCCGCTCGGGTCCTTGTCGTTATCTTCGCTCTTCACATTTGCAGCACCACCTCCACGACCACCACGGCCTCCACGGCCTCTTCCTCTCCCTCCACCTGCTCCTCTACCCTCTTGGCCTTGAGCAGGGGTCCATCCATCTGGGAGTTTGAAGCAATCGCGCCACATATGTCCGCTCTTGCCGCAATAGTGACATTCGCCGTCAAATCGTCCGCGACCGCGACCGTAGCTCTTGTCGTCGCTGCCGTAACCGCCACTCCCGCGGCCTCCACTGAAGTTGCTGCCACCAAACCTTCCTCCCCCTCGTCCTCTGCCTCTTCCATGGCCATATCCACGGCCGCGGAAATCCTCACTCGCCAACTCACGGCGGCGGAAATCCTCTTGAAGGATTGCTCGCTTCACATCTTCAAGCGAGAGGCGGGCCAAGTCACGGTTGAGGTTAATGATGAGTGAGGACCACGACTCTGGGAGTAAGGCCAGCAACTTGGTCTTCTTTTGGAGCTCGCTGTAGTTCAAATCAGCTCCCTCTAGCCGCGTCAACAAGTCGAAGAATCTCTGCACCCCGTCTTCCACAGGTTCATCTTCCTCAATTCGTAGCGTCGCCATTTGCCGTTCCAACACCACAGCTACCGCCGCTGTTGCAGTAGCGTGTACACCCTTGGGAGCAGCCCATGCCTTTGGTCCCTTCTCTGGTTCACGCTGGAAAGGCTTGATGTGACGGATCTGGCTGCTCCCCAACGCTTGCCCAAGTAGGAGGTAGCCTTGTGCGCTCTTCCGCACCCACGGGCTCCCGTTCCCCATTCTCCCGCTTTCCATCATTCCGCCCCATTCTCCCGCTTTCCATCACCCCGCCCCATTCTCCCTCCTTCCATCACCCTGCCCCATTCTCCCTCCTTCCATCACCCCGCCCCATTCTCCCACTTTCCATCACCCCGCCCCATTCTCCCACTTTCCATCACCCCGCCCCATTCTCCCGCTTTCGATCACCCCGCCCAATTCTCCCGCTTTCCATCACCCTGCCCCATTCTCCCGCTTTCCATCACCCCGCCCCATTCTCCCGCTTTCCATCACCCCACCCCATTCTCCCTCCTTCCATCACCCCGCCCCATTCACCCTCCTTCCATCACCACACCCCATCACCCCTCCCCATTCTCCCGCTTTCCATCGCCCCGCCCCATTCTTCCTCCTTCCATCACCCCGCCCCATTCTCCCTCCTTCCATCACCCCACCCCATTCAACCGCTTTCCATCACCCCGCCCCATTCTCCCGCTTTCCATCACCCCGCCCCATTCTCCCGCTTTCCATCACCCCGCCCCATTCTCCCGCCATCCAGTGCCCCGCCCCATTCTCCCTCCTACCATCACCCCGCCCCATTCTCCCGCTTTCCATCACCCCACCCATTCTCGCTCTTTCCATCACCCCGCCCTATTCTCCCGCTTTACATCACCCCGCCCGATTCTCCCGCTTTCCATCACCCCGCCCCATTCTCCTGCTTTCCATCACCCCACCCCATTCTCCCGCTTTCCATCACCCCGCCCCATTCTCCCGCTTTCCATCACCCCGCCCCATTCTCCCGCTTTCCATCACCCCGCCCCATTCTCCCGCTTTCCATCACCCCGCCCCATTCTCCCGCCATCCAGTGCCCCGCCCCATTCTCCCTCCTACCATCACCCCGCCCCATTCTCCCGCTTTCCATCACCCCACCCATTCTCGCTCTTTCCATCACCCCGCCCTATTCTCCCGCTTTACATCACCCCGCCCGATTCTCCCGCTTTCCATCACCCCGCCCCATTCTCCTGCTTTCCATCACCCCACCCCATTCTCCCGCTTTCCATCACCCCGCCCCATTCTCCCGCTTTCCATCACCCCGCCCCATTCTCCCGCTTTCCATCACCCCGCCCCATTCTCCCGCTTTCCATCACCCCGCCCCATTCTCCCTCCTTCCATCACCCCGCCCCATTCTCCCTCCTTCCATCAGCCCGCCCCATTCTCCCGCTTTCCATCACCCCGCCCCATTCTCCCGCTTTCCATCACCCCGCCCCAATCCCCCGCTTTCCATCAGCCCGCCCCATTCTCCCTCTTTCCATCACGCCGCCCCATTCTCCCGCTTTCCATCACCCCGCCCCATTCTCCCTCTTTCCATCACCCCGCCCTATTCTTCCGCTTTACATCACCCCGCCCGATTCTCCCGCTTTCCATCACCCCGCCCCATTCTCCTGCTTTCCATCACCCCGCCCCATTCTCCCGCTTTCCATCACCCCGCCCCATTCTCCCGCTTTCCAGCACCCCGCCCCATTCTCCCGCTTTCCAGCACCCCGCCCCATTCTCCCGCTTTTCATCACCCCGCCCCATTCTCCCGCTTTCCATCACCCCGCCCCATTCTCCCGCTTTCCATCACCCCGCCCCATTCTCCCGCTTTCCATCACCCCGCCCCATTCTCCCGCTTTCCATCACCCCGCCCCATTCTCCCTCCTTCCATCACCCCGCCCCATTCACCCTCCTTCCATCACCCCGCCCCTATCTCCCGCTTTCCATCACCCCGCCCCATTCTCCCGCTTTCCATCACCCCGCCCCATTCTCCCGCTTTCCATTACCCCGCCCCATTCTCCCGCTTTCCATCATTCCGCCCCATTCTCCCGCTTTCCATCACCCCGCCCCATTCTCCCTCCTTCCATCACCCTGCCCCATTCTCCCTCCTTCCATCACCCCGCCCCATTCTCCCACTTTCCATCACCCCGCCCCATTCTCCCGATTTCCATCACCCCGCCCCAATCTCCCACTTTCCATCACCCAGCCCCATTCTCCCTCCTTCCATCACCCCGCCCCATTCTCCCTCCTTCCATCACCCCGCCCCATTCTCCCGCTTTCCATCACCCCGCCCCATTCTCCCGCTTTCCAGCACCCCGCCCCATTCTCCCGCTTTCCAGCACCCCGCCCCATTCTCCCACTTTCCATCACCCCGCCCCATTCTCCCGCTTTCCATCACCCCGCCCCATTCTCCCGCTTTCCATCACCCCGCCCCATTCTCCCGCATTCCGTCACCCCGCCCCATTCTCCCGCTTTCCATCACCCCGCCCCATTCTCCCTCCTTCCATCACCCCGCCCCATTCTCCCACTTTCCATCACCCCGCCCCATTCTCCCGCTTTCCATCACCCCGCTCCATTCTCCCGCTTTCGATCACCCCGCCCCATTCTCCCGCTTTCCATCACCCCGCCCCATTCTCCCGCTTTCCATCACGCCGCCCCATTCTCCCGCTTTCCATCACCCCGCCCCATTCTCCCTCCTTCCATCACCCCGCCCCATTCACCCTCCTTACATCACCCCACCCCATCACCCCTCCCCATTCTCCCGCTTTCCATCGCCCCGCCCCATTCTTCCTCCTTCCATCACCCCGCCCCATTCTCCCTCCTTCCATCACCCAACCCCATTCAAGCGCTTTCCATCACCCCGCCCCATTCTCCCGCTTTCCATCACCCCGCCCCATTCTCCCGCTTTCCATCACCCCGCCCCATTCTCCCGCCATCCAGTGCCCCGCCCCATTCTCCCTCCTTCCAACACCCCGCCCCATTCTCCCGCTTTCCATCACCCCGCCCCATTCTCCCGCTTTCCATCACCCCGCCCCATTCTCCCGCTTTCCATCACCCCGCCCCATTCTCCCGCTTTCCATCACCCCACCCATTCTCGCTCTTTCCATCACCCCGCTCCATTCTCCCTCCTTCCATCACCCCGCCCCATTCTCCCTCCTTCCATCAGCCCGCCCCATTCTCCCGCTTTCCATCACCCCGCCCCATTCTCCCGCTTTCCATCACCCCGCCCCAATCCCACGCTTTCCATCACCCCGCCCCATTCTCCCTCTTTCCATCACGCCTCCCCATTCTCCCGCTTTCCATCACCCCGCCCCATTCTCCCTCTTTCCATCACCCCGCCCTATTCTTCCGCTTTACATCACCCCGCCCGATTCTCCCGCTTTCCATCACCCCGCCCCATTCTCCTGCTTTCCATCACCCCGCCCCATTCTCCCGCATTCCATCACCCCGCCCCATTCTCCCGCTTTCCAGCACCCCGCCCCATTCTCCCGCTTTCCAGCACCCCGCCCCATTCTCCCGCTTTCCATCACCCCGCCCCATTCTCCCGCTTTCCATCACCCCGCCCCATTCTCCCGGTTTCCATCACCCCGCCCCATTCTCCCGCTTTCCGTCACCCCGCCCCATTCTCCCGCACCCCGCCCCATTCTCCCTCCTTCCATCACCCCGCCCCATTCTCCCTCCTTCCATCAGCCCGCCCCTGTCTCCCGCTTTCCATCACCCCGCCCCATTCTCCCGCTTTCCATCACCCCGCCCCATTCTCCCGCTTTCCATTACCCCGCCCCATTCTCCCGCTTTCCATCATTCCACCCCATTCTCCCGCTTTCCATCACCCCGCCCCATTCTCCCTCCTTCCATCACCCTGCCCCATTCTCCCTTCTTCCATCACCCCGCCCCATTCTCCCACTTTCCATCACCCCGCCCCATTCTCCCGCTTTCCATCACCCCGCCCCATTCTCCCGCTTTCGATCACCCCGCCCCATTCTCCCGCTTTCCATCACCCCGCCCCATTCTCCCGCTTTCCATCACGCCGCCCCATTCTCCCGCTTTCCATCACCCCGCCCCATTCTCCCGCTTTCCATCACCCCGCCCCATTCTCGCTCCTTCCATCAGCCCGCCCCATTCTCCCTCCTTCCATTACCCCGCCCCATTCTCCCGCTTTCCATCACCCCGCCCCATTCTCCTGCTTTCCATCACCCCGCCCCATTCTCCCGCTTTCCATCACCCCGCCCCATTCTCCCGCTTTCCAGCACCCCGCCCCATTCTCCCGCTTTCCAGCACCCCGCCCCATTCTCCCGCTTTCCATCACCCCGCCCCATTCTCCCGCTTTCCATCACCCCGCCCCATTCTCCCGCTTTCCATCACCCCGCCCCATTCTCCCGCTTTCCGTCACCCCGCCCCATTCTCCCGCTTTCCATCACCCCGCCCAATTCTCCCTCCTTCCATCACCCCGCCCCATTCTCCCTCCTTCCATCAGCCCGCCCCTATCTCCCGCTTTCCATCACCCCGCCCCATTCTCCCGCTTTCCATCACCCCGCCCCATTCTCCCGCTTTCCATTACCCCGCCCCATTCTCCCGCTTTCCATCATTCCGCCCCATTCTCCCGCTTTCCATCACCCCGCCCCATTCTCCCTCCTTCCATCACCCTGCCCCATTCTCCCTCCTTCCATCACCCCGCCCCATTCTCCCACTTTCCATCACCCCGCCCCATTCTCCCGCTTTCCATCACTCCGCCCCATTCTCCCGCTTTCCATCACCCTGTTATAGCCACAATAGGCTTGAATGTGCCTAAAACGAAAGATAGAGAGCACAGACGGATTTCTGCACAGCGGCTTCAAACGTTGATAGCGTTCTGGTCACAGCTGCAAATGACTTGATTCAAATTGGATCTGGAGCGTCTTCACGTCGTCTACAATTAGCAATTTAGATTGCACGATTTGATAAAGAATTGACGACACAGCGTCGGTTTGAACGAACGGTACTATGGCAGCCACTATAGTCTTAGAACACAAGATAGGAAGAGTTACGAGTTGGGAATGACTCCCAGCTCCTACAAACCCCAAGAGCCGAGGTACAGTGATATGGAACAGTGCCACACTGTCCCCAACCACGAAGGGTCTCGAAACTACCCTTCACTAGGGCCTACACCAAGTGAAATGTTACACTACACAAAGTAATGTAACTATCTTCAATATCTTGAGGTGTACCCTTTTTGGCGAGCTTCGAAATCACTTGAGGCTTGACACCAAGGCTCGGTCTCTTCATCACAAACTCATCCTTGAGTTCTTGATGGGTCTGCTGCACACACCTGCGACACGCCGAACGTTCGACACAGGACAAAATAGAAACCGCGCACGACAAAATAGAAACCGCGCGCGAGACACAAACGACCGCGTAACACGCGTCTAGCGATAACTCGCTATTGACTCGACACACACACTCGACATCATGACTCAACATTCACACACAATTATAAGCATGAAATATATATTATCCCATGCCCTCATACCATTCCATACACACACACATTCACGCACACGGACAACAAGCCGAGTGCAAACCGTAGGGTTGCACCAACAAACTCCCCCTCGGATTGTTGGCCTTAGGATATGTTGCTCTCTCAGTTCAGAGCCATCCCAGCCAGCTTGCAACACTTCCAATGCTGCTGCTCCACCAGCCTCTTGGTCATCATGTCAGCCGGCTGCCCCGTGGTCTTCACGTAGCGCAACTCAACTTCACCCGCGGTTACCATGCTCCTCGTCCAATGCCACTTCACCCTCATGTGCTTCGTGAGTCCATGCAACACAGGGTTCTTAGCAAGAGCAATGGCACCCTGGCTGTCACAGTACAGTGGGGTAGGTCCTTGCTGCTCCTCCCCCAATTCAGCCAACAAACGCCGCTGCCACACAATCTCCCGTACGGCACGGAAGAGTGCCATGTACTCGGACTCCACCGAGCTCAAAGCTTGGTCAACCTGCTTCTTGCTCTCCCAAGCAGTTGGGCCTCCACCAACACAGCATATGAAGCCTCCAACACTTGTCATGTCCTCTGGTTCTGATGCATATGAAGCATCCGAGTAGGCGGTGAGGAACAAACGCCCGGGTTCAACACCATCCGCGCCCTTTTGGCGCCTTTGTGCCGCCGCCGAGTATTGCAGCCCAACGGTCGGTGTTTGGCCAAGATACTTGGCCACCCTCATTCCAGCTGCTACCTGCTCCTCATTAGGGCATTGCAAAACCCTAGCCAGCTGCCCGGTAGCAAACGCGACGTCCGGTCGGGTGTTTACCGCCGCATACATGAGGCTGCCCACCAACGAGTGAAATCGGCGCCTCTCCTCTTCACCAACGCTCTCCTCCTCTGGTCCCTTCACACACTTGAACCCAGAGGGAAAGGGTGTAGCCACATGGCCTTCACTCTGCCCAAAGTTGGCAGCCAATGCCTCCAGGTACTTTCGTTGATGCACCCGCATGCACCGCTTCTCCACATCTCGTTCGATGTGGAGCCCAAGGTAGAAGCTCACGTCACCAAGGGCCTTGCACTTGAACTTGTCTTGAAGCTTCAGCATCACCTCCTTCACAAGGTCAGAAGAGGGTGAGAAAATGAGGATGTCATCCACATAAACCACCATGAAACTCCTCTGCTCCCCCTCGCCAAGCATGAACAAGGAGTGATCGGCCGTTGAGGGAGTGAAGCCGATCCCCTCCAACACTTCGCGCAGCTTCATGTACCATTGCCTAGGGGCCTGCTTCAGCCCATAGAGGGCCTTCTTCAGCTTCCACACTCTGCCACTACCATCATCAAACCCCTCTGGCTGCGCCATAAAAATCTCCTCCTCAAGGATGCCGTTAAGGAATGCCGTTACGATGTCCATTTGCTTTACTACCCATCCTTTGATGGCGGCTCCCGCGAATAGGGTTCGCAGCGTCGTCGGCTTCACCACAGGGGCAAACAGCTCCTTGAAGTCCACCTTCTCCTTCTGCTGGTACCCCTTGGCTACAAGCCTAGACTTGTAGCGCTCGATCTTGCCGTCGGCATCCGACTTGATTTTGAAGAGCCACTTGGACGTTATCGCCGTACGCCCCTCCGGTAGCTCCACCAATTCAAACGTGTCATTCTCCTCGATGCTCTTCAGCTCACTCTCCATGGCCTTCTTCCACTCCTCAGCATCACTACTCTCCAAAGCCTCCTTGAGAGTTGCTGGTTCTCCCGGCATCTCCACCGGAGAGAAGAACGCGAAGGCACACTCCTCGTAGTCACTCTCCTCGTCGTCTCCGACCATCATTGCCGCTCCGGCCAGGGCTGTCTTGCCCTGCTTTCCCGGCGCATCATAGGTCAGCCTATTAGGGGGTTGAACTCTCCTCTTCCCCCTTCCTTCCTCCTCAGCTGCAGGGACTTGAAGGCCTTGGCGTTGCTGCGGTGTGGCTCGAATCCGTGGAGCACTCGTAGTACGGGAAGGGAGTGACGGTGCACGCTCGCTCACTTGCTGCACCTCCTCCTCTTCTTCCTCTGCATCATTGGCCTCCTCTCCCCCATTCACAAGGGAGGATTGCCTTGTGGTTGTGCTGCCGCTGCTCAGCTCCAAAGGCAGCTCCACATGCTCCAAACCGGAACTTTTCACCTCCCCAAACCGCACGCCTATCTTCGCCTCATTCTCCGCCTTCCAATCCTTGTACATGAAGTTCTCCATGAACTTGCAGTCCCTGCTCACCAAGAACTTCTTGGTGAATGGGTCCCAAAGAAGCCATCCCTTGCTGTTTTGAGCCATGCCCAAGTGCACGGCCCACACCGCCTTGGCACCAAGCTTGTTGTGCCGAAGATGCTTAGGCACGAGCGCCATGCACATGCACCCGAACACCCGAAGCATATCCACCTTTGGCTTCCATCCTAGCCACTCCACATAGGGCACCCATTTGTCTGCTCCCATATGAGTCAAGGCTCTGTTCTTGGCCACACACGCGCTCCGCACCGCATCAGGCCAGAAATAGTCGGGTAGCCCGGCTTCAATGAGCAACCCGCGTGCCGCCTCCGTGATTGTGCGGTTCGCTCGCTCGGCGATGCCGTTCATTGCAGGGGAGTATGGCATGGTGAGGGAGTGCCGAATACCATTCTTCTTCAGCCACAACCCAAACTCCTTGCTCAGGAACTCTCCCCCTCGATCGGTGCGGATTGACTTGACTAGACGGTCTTGTTGCCGCTCCACCATCGGAAACCAATCCGTCTTCAACGTTTCAGCCACGTCGCTCTTCTTGGCCAGCACGTACACCCAAGTCATGCGGGTGTAGACGTCGACAATGGTGAGAAAATACTCAGCTCCAGCAGCTCCAAGCTTCAGGGGGCCCACCACGTCCATCACCACCTCATCAAGCGGTGCCTTTGCGGTTGCCTCCGAACTAGGGAACGGAAACCGGTTGAACTTGGCTTGAATGCACGTCGGGCAGCCAAGCACCTCATCGGGCTCCCCCTTCACACGTATGCCAGCAACCATCTCATTCTTCACTAGCTGCTGCAAGATGGGCAGGGCCACATGCCCCATGCGCCGATGCAAGGTGAGCCAATCACACTCCCCCGTAGCCGAAGTTGGATTGGAGAATGCCGCGCTCGCAATAGCGCCCCACATACTCTCTCCGTAGTCCTCCTCCGCTGCTGCCTCTGGGTTCTCCTCACCCTTTTGCTGCTCCTTGGTTGCTGCACCACTCTCGTTAGGTTCACTAAACTTGCTGGTCCCTCCAGGTTTGCTCTTCTTGAGCTCATTCTCCTTAGCGCGACCGTTCGCGCCATCGTCGCTACCGACCGCTCCATCCTTGGTGCTGATGCTTGCTGCCACTTGCCTCTCCTTAGGCATAGGGACCACTGGGATCTGCCACATCTCGTTGTAGACATCCCTGTCCTCATGAAGGTCCCAAAGAATTCGATCGCCAAGCCTTGCGGTGTAGGTCTTGGCTCCCTTCGAGTTCGTGTCCATGCCGGCCTTTGCCAACCGCCGCACGGAAATCAGGTTTGCAGCAAGGCTGGGCACCCAAAGCACGTTCTTGAGGCCCACCATCTTCCCATCAGCACCCTTGAACATGGCCTTGCCCATGCCTTTCACCTCTGCTCGCTGCCCCAAAGCCGATGTGACATGCTTCACCGGTGACGGCTCGAGTTCGGTGAGCAAGTCCGGGCGAGGTGTCATGCTATAGGTAGCGCCACTATCAATCACCCAATAGTCCAGGGGGTGTAGGGTCACCTTCCCCACAGCTGCTGGCTCCTCAAAGCCTTCATCCTTCTCTGGACCAGCCGGTACTTGCGTCGACACGAAGTAGAATAGACCCGGGTATCGATCGTCGCTCGGGTCCTTGTCGTTGTCTCCGCTCTTCATGTTTGCAGCTCCGCCACCGCGACCGCCACGGCCTCCACGGCCTCGTCCTCTCCCTCCTCCTGCTCCTCTACCCTCTTGGCCTTGAGCAGGGGTCCAACCATCAGGGAGTTTGTAGCAGTCGCGCCACATGTGTCCGCTCTTGTGGCAATAGTGACACTCGCCGTCGAATCGGCCGCGACCGCGTCCGTAGCTCTTGTCGTCGCTGCCGTAACCGCCACTCCTGCGGCTTCCGCCGAAGTTGCTGCCACCAAACCTTCCTCCCCCTCGTCCTCTGCCTCTTCCTCGACCATATCCACGGCCGATGCTCGCTGCCCCAGCGCCATCCGCACTCGCCAACTCACGGCGGCGGAAATCCTCTTGAAGGATAGCTCGCTTCACGTCTTCAAGCGAGAGGCGGGGCAAGTCGCGA